CCTTAGGTGTATGTGGCTGGCGCCTTAGCCGCTTGAGCCACAGGCGCCGAGGCACAAATACAGTTTTTAAATTTTTTTTTTTTTTTTTTTGAGACAGAGCCTCAAGCTGTCGCCCTGGAGTGCTATGGCATCACAGCTTACAGCAACCTCAAACTCTTGGGCTTAAGCGATACTCTTGCCTCAGCCTCCCACATAGCTGGGACTATAGGTGCCTGCCACAACACCTGGCTATTTTTTGGTTGTAGTTGTCATTGTTGTTTGGCAGGCTCAGGCTGGGTTCGAACCCACCAGCTCTGGTGTATGTGACTGGCACCTTAGCTGTTGAGCTATAGGCGCCAAGCATAATCTATCTACAGTTTTGCCATCTTAATAGTAGCTTGTGTATGCCTACAGAAAAGAAGCTTGAAGAGCAGGTGGTGGTGAAATTGCAAAGGTGTTTTTCATAGCTTGCTGAGAATTGATAATTTTCCCTTGCAAGAAGTGGTCCAGCCCTGGCACCAGGCTCACACCTATAATCGTAGCACTCTCAGAGGCCAACGCAGATGGATTGCTTGAGGTCAGGCGTTTGAGACCAGCCTGAGCAAGAGTGAGACCCTGTCTCAAAAAGTAGCCAGGAGTTGTGGTGGGCACCTGCAGTCCCAGCTACTTGGGAGGCTGAGGCAAGAGAATCACTTAAGCCCAAGAGCTGGAGGTTGATGTGAGCTGTGATGCCATAGCACTCTATTTAGGGAGACAGCTTGAGTCTCAAAAACAAAGAAATGGTTTGCCTTTATATCATGACAACAAAGAAAGTCAAGCTGAGATGATTTCTCTTCTGATACTTGCTTAATTCATTCAGAAGCCATCTACCCAGCTTTTTTACGTTGTCAGTTTGGTTCAAATAGTCCAGTACCATTGGGATAGTGACATCAAACCTTAATGCTAATTCGTGTGTAGTTTGAAATGGATTTGCTTCCACTACAGCTTTCAGCTCATCATTATTCATCTTGGTCTCAGGTAGTTCACATGGCTCATTTTCAAGATTAAAATCACCAGAATGGAACTTCTCAAACCATCACTGCATTCATTAGCCACATCCTTCCCAAACACTTCGTTGATATTTCCAGCTGTCCATGCTGTGTGGTTCCATGATGGAACTCATATTAACAAATATTACAATAATTTTTTACGTATGTGTGGTTTCATGAAAATTGCTCTTAAAAAAAAATTGAGGTCAGGTGTGGTGGCTCACACCTGTAATCCTAGCACTCTGGGAGGCTGAGGTGGGTAGATTGCTTGAGCTCAGGAGTTTGACATCAGCATGAGCAAGAGTGAGACCCTGTATCTACTAAAAATAGAAAAACCAGCGGAGTGTTGCATTAGGTGCCTATAGTTCCAGCTACTTAGGAGGCTGAGGCAAGACGACCGTTTGAGCCCAAGAGTTTGAGATTGTTGTGAGCCATGACTCCATGGCATCTACTGAGGGCAACAAAGTGAAACTCTTGTTTCCAAAAAGAAAAAGACGTGAATTACATGCTTCATGAAAAAAAAAAAATAAAAATAAAACAAAAATATATGCTCCACGAGGCCCCAGGCTCAAAACTAGTGTGAGTTAAATACAACTCACACTATGTTAATATGTTAAAGATGACTCACTCACACAGCTACAAGCTCATTCTGGCTGCTGGCTAGGAGAGTTCAGCAGGGATTTGTGGCCAGGGGCTTTGATTCCCATCCATGTTGAGTCTCCCAATGTGGCTGCTAGGACAGAATGGCAGCTGCATCCCAAGACAGAGAAGCCCAAGAGAGGTTCCTAGAGGAAGGAAGCAGAAGTTGCCAGTGCTCTTCCTGGGTAGATGTCCAAGTGTCAACGTCTTCACATTTTTCTATTGGTTGTTTCCTCTCAACCCTCCTCCTCTACCTCATTTCTAGCTTCAGCAGTGCTTGGCCTTTTGTGCTCAACCTCTCCACAGAAGAGAAAGGAGTTTCTTGTTGTGTGAGCTGGACACAGAGCGCAGGTTGGAACTGGGACCAATTTGCTCCTTAAACATAGTTTGAACCCATCTTCCTTATAGCTCCATCTTTATTCCCACTTCATAGCTGACGACTTCAACCCCAGACTTCCTGTGGTAAGCATTGCCTTTCCTTTTATGAAAAAGGATGCTGCATGGGCAGCACCTGTGGCTCATTTAGTAGGGCACTGACCCCACATACCGAGGGTGGCGGGTTCGAACCTGGCCCCGGCCAAACTGCAACAAAAAATAGCTGGGTGTTGTGGCGGGCCCCTATAGTCCCAGTTACTTGGGAGGCTGAGGCAAGAGAATGGCTTAAACCCAGGAGTTAGAGGTTGCTCTGAGCTACGACGTGACTGAGGGCAACAAAGTGAGACTCTCTCTAAAAAGAAAGAAAGAGGAAGAGAGAGAGAAAGAAAGAAAGAAAGAAAGGAAGGAAGGAAGGAAGGAAGGAAGGAAGGAAGGAAGGTCCGTTGCATGCTACATGTTAGTTTCTTTCATTTTGCTGTGTCTCTTTCCACTTGTCTGCCTGCTATTCATCTTGGATATGTTTGTTTATATGCTCACCTGCTATTGCCTCTTCTCCAACTTTTCTTGTCTTTTGTGGGTTTGTGTATTTTTCTTTTCCTTTTTTTTTTGAGACAGAGTCTCGCTATGTTGCCCTTGGTAGAGTGCCATGGTATTACAGCTCACAGTAACCTTAAACTCCTGGGCTTAGGTGATTCTCTTACCTCAGCCTCCCAAGTAGCTGGGACTACAGACACCTGCCACAATGCCTGGCTATTTTTTTGTTGCAGTTGTCATTGTTGTTTAGCAGGCCAGGGCCTGATTCGAACCCACCAGCATTGGTGTATGTGGCTGGCACTGTAACCACTGTGCCATGGGTGCCGAGCCAGTGTTTGTGTATTTTTCATTCCTTTACTGTTATTTTTATTTTTCTATCCTCGTATCATTTTGTCTCCACTTTACTGTTATTTTTAGGAAGGTGCTGAGAACTCTGTCTTTTTTGGGGGGGGTGTTTCTGTTTCTTTTGTCTGTTAGTTTGTTTGAGACAGAGTTTCACTCCATTGCTCTTGGTATAGTGTTGTAGCTTCATTATAACTCACAACAACCTCAAATTCTGGGGCTCAAGCCATCCTTTTGCCTGAGCCTTCCCAGTAGCTGGGACCAGACATTCCTGCCATAACACCCAGCTAGTTTTTCTGTTTTTAGTAGAGATGGATCTCACTCTTGCTCAGGCTGGTCTCAGACTCCCGACCTCAAGCAATCTACCCACCTCGGCCTTCTAGAGTGTTAGGATTACAGGTGGCTCTCACCCAGCCAGAACTCTAGGTTTAATCCAATATGTTAGCTGCTTCCTGAGACTCTCCCTCATAGAGCCCATCTGGTAGGCTGTGATTAAACCCACAC